ACACAGCCCAATATACTGTTGGCCTTTGTTGCTGCCAGGGTCACTGTTGGCTCATGCTCAGCTTGCTGCTCACCAGCCCCTAGGGCCTTCTCCACAGAGCTGCCCCCAGCCAGGCAGAATCACCCTGTGCTGGTGCCAGGGGCTCTTCCTTTCCAGAAGCAGGACTTTGCATTTGTCCTTCTTGAATTTCATACGGTTGGACCATTCCTCCAGCCTGCCTAGGCTTCTCTGAATGTCAGCCTGAGCCTTGAAAGTATTGAATGGTACCCCCAAATTGGTACCATCTGCAAACTTATTGAGCAAGCTTTCTGCCACCTCTTCTAAGTCATTGATAAATTTGTTAAAAAGGACCAGTCCCAGGACAGACCCCTGCAACACTTATTAATGGCCTCCATGTAGAGTATAACACTTTAGTAACTACCTTTGGAGCCTGACCATCCAGCCCGTTTGGGTTTTTTTACTTATCTGGTTGTCCAACCTTCTTGTACCCTAACTAGAGTACAAGAATATTGCGGGAGAGTGTCAGAAGCCTTGCTAAAGTTAAGGTAAATGACATCTTGTGCCCTCCCATTGTCTATAATTCCAGACATTTTATCACAAAAGGTAATCACGTTGGTCAGGCATCATTCACCCTTGGTAAATCCATGCTGACTGTTCCCCATTACCTTATTCTCCCTCATGGGCCTTGAAATGTCTTCCAAGAGGACTTGCTCCATCATTTTCCCAGGGACTGAAGTGAGGCTGAGCAGCCCATAATTCACCAGACTGTCCCTTTGGCCTCTTTTTTTGAAGACAAGTGCAACACTTGCCCAGACATTGAGGATCTCCCCAGTCTCCATAATCTTTCAAACACGGCAGAGGGTGACTTGGCAAGAGAATCAGACAGTTGTCTCTGAACCTATGGATGCAGCCCATCTTGTTGCCCTTTGTCCCTTTTAAGTCTTAACTAAAGCTGAGCTTTGGCACAGGAAGCCTGACACATTTCCTGGCCCAGACAACGTTTCTAAATTTCTGCTATGTAGCCTGTCCTTGCTTCCAACTCTTCTATACTGCTTTTTGCATTGCAGCTCCGTCACAAGTAACCTGTCTAGCTAAGTCAGGCTACTTATCTTCCCGAATATCAGGACAGATCATTCCTGCATTTGGAGGATACTGTCCTTAAACACCAGCAAGCTTTCCTGAGTAAGTTTACCCTTCAGATCCGGCTCCCATGGGATCCATGAGTAGCAGATCCAGCTGTGTACCACCTTTAGTTGTCCTATCCAGAAGTTATCCCTGACACCCTCTAGAAATTTTCACTGCTTCCAACCTGCCATGTTTGTCCTTTCAGCAGATATCAGGTACATCAAAGACCTCTTTCAGACCTATTGGACCCTTCAGAATTGTTCACAGGGCTTCTGACATCCTCACCCTGTTGCAGCCGTAAATCCCTTAAGATTCTTAGTTTCTAAACTCTTAGGACTAGCAGTTCCCTTTAGTTTTCAGAAAGCCTTAGTATGTTGAAAACAAAATCTGGAATTTCCATTTCATGCAAAATTTTGATATATTATGTCCAGCGGAAAAAAAACAACCTCCAGTTTTCCCAAACTTTCTAATTTTCATGCAAAACGAATTCTAGTTTTTAAATTACTCTAATTCACCTTATTCACCAAGCTCAAGGAATAATTATTTGATTCTGTCTTCGCTAAAACAGCTGAATATAATGAATCCACAGGTTTCTTCTCTCACCCCCCCAAAAACCTTGAGACCCTGTCTTCCCAAATGCCAGGAGAGAAAAAGAAAAAAAGAATGAGGCATATCTGATACCTGTGAATCTATCTGCACAACCTGGGGATGTTAATATGTTATGTAATTGCAGCAGTATGAGAAAAGGAATATATTCTCTGTTCGGGTTGTTCCCTTTTAGTCTAGATTTTACGAAATGAAATGAAATGAAATGAAATGAAATGAAATGAAATGAAATTAAATTCTGTTCAATTTAGTCATGTTCATTTGATGCTGAGGACTCTCAAACAATGGAGTTTAGAAAAGTCTCCGTCTGTCATCATCCTTCCAAATTTCTACAAGGAGGTTTAAATCTATTAATCTTGCAGCATATCTATGTCTGGTTCACGTTCTCCTTTATCAGCTTAGCTTGTTTGCTAGTATTTATCACACTGTTTGGTTTTTTGGGTTGAGACAGATGTGTGCATGGACTAATTGTATGCCAGGGCTTGTTGAAGCTCTGTTCATAATTTCATTATCATTTTAATCTGGATCTATGAACAGACATAGCATGTGACTTTTGTATACTGCAAGGTATTATTTAATGGAAGATTTAAGGATGCTTTATAGAAAAAGAAAACTATTTTTATCCTATAAAAGAAACTTCGATGTCTAAATAACAATTTTGTTCAGCTTTGAGTGGGCTCACAAAAGGGCTGTGATATAGAACTATGTCAATCACTCACTAAAGCACCAACACCCCTATGCACTATACTGCAAAACTATTTTCCTAATAAAACTCCATACTACAATCATGTTATAATTTTCCTTTGAGCATAAACTCTCTTCAGAACTGTAGTATAAAAATACCTTTTTAAATGTTTATCATGTTTTTTCTAAATATGTTTATCAACCTTAGTAAGAATACAACTTGTTTCTTGTATTATTTTACAGAGAAACAGTTGTTAATATTTTATTAGCTATTGATATTCTAATATTGTTAACAGGGATAACATTTTAATGTATTTTTTTAAAACTAGGATGACACACTTTTAAAGTATTAGCTAAAAATACAATACATATTATTAATATTAAACATAAGTAGTGTAATGTCTACATAATATACCTAGAACACATAATAAATATAAAAAGTGTTATCACAGCTGACAGACTAATATTTGCCAAATAACTGATGACTGCATAGGATAATAGTTCACAATTACTTTTAAACTCTTCCCAACAATGGGAACGTTTAATTGGAGAAGTAGGATATATATGAATCAACTAATTTCCTAAATGGCAAATACTTGTCAAACTTGGAACTCAAGAATCATAAAAATCTATTTCTGAGAATATATTGTTATCTCTCTTTTTCAAACAATAACCAAAAACTTGGAGGCGTAAATGCTTAATTCCATCAGGAAAAGGGTTTGATGATAGTGTTGGTAATTTCTATGACTGTTACACTCGTTCTTTACAAACAGTATCTCCTCAGACACAGGAAAGGACTGTGATGCTTCAATTATACTTCCAGACTTTGAACATGCAGTTAACACCTATACTCTTTCTTAGACTTTTCTTAGGGACTAGCAGCGCTTCTCTGGATGATATTTCTGGTATCTTCAGAGTTACTTCTTGTCTTGACAGATATACTCTACTAAAACAATACCCAGCAAAAAATGTTCTCTGTTCTTAACGACCTCACACATACTTTTGCTGAGGATTGTGACATGCACGTGTACTTTGCACAAATGTTCTTATAGCTGATATTTAGCTGAAATATAGATATTTCCTTAAAATTATCCCAAATGAATGAAGGCATTACAGTTAAGCCACTATTTAACCGGGTGTGTCAGGAATACAGATTCTTTAACAGAGAATTAGGAAAACCCTTATAACCATGGCATTCACAGTCCACTCTGTGGAAGAATGTAAGGCTGCACTACTTGAGCTGTTATTGTTGCCAAGGCAGAAGGACACTGTCCCTCAGCAGATCGGGGCATTTGGTGCCTTCCTCACAGATAACTAGGAGGAGATAGGAGTTCCTAGAAGTGGAGTTTCTGATGCAATTGTTTTTAGCCCTGACTGATAGTAGAGAAGAAATATCCAGTTTCATAATAAGAAACCAAACCAAGAGAAAATAATTTTTAAAACTCCTTAAAAATATAAACCTGAGCCACACAGAAAACAATTTTAAGTTATTCAGGTTCTCTGTGATTCATGATGTGCAGTCACTAAGTGCGCATCTTCCATGTGAACTGCTTAACAGAAAAATTATATGTGATCTAAGATGTTCTGTATGACAGTAATAGTGCTGAAAAGAATTTATGTGGGGGAAGAAACTTGACGGGAATTCAAGTGCTAGGAACTATATTAGTAAGTAGGACTTAAAATTAACCTACTTTCTTTATAGTAAGAAAAAAATAGAATATAGAAATGCTTCCATGAAGATAAAATGGTCTTCATTCAGTGACAGAGGCGTAATACTGATACATAATGGGAACTTTAATATAACACTTTCTTCAGTAGCAGGGGCAGAGATGTAGCAATTTACTATTATTGTTTTTCTTACAACAAGCCTATTTAAATCATCTGTGTGTCATGACTGCATGTTACGAACTAATTAGCTTAGCTTCAATATTCGCTGATGCATTTTATTGCATTCTGACTAAAGCTACATCTTGCAGAAAGTTACCCTTTAATCTACTACATGCAAAATGGCGTTATAAATATTAAAATATATGACAGTGGAAAGATATTAAATTTATTCCTGAATAATATAACTGCTTAGCCTCAAGCATGGAGTAGTAATAATTACTTCTGAGCTGTAATTAATTGGTAATTAATTGGGCAAACAAATTATTAAAGTTTAGATGCTGATAAATAGGAGAAGGAAGCTAAGAAAAACCAGCAACTGTCAGCAATATTTTAACACTAAGGAATTCTGTATGAGATAAAATTACAGCCAACATATTTATAGAATATAAACTAAATGGAGACTATGAGACACCAGTAAAATATATTCTCTTTGAACGGTTAGAATTCACCTCAACATAAGCTATCAACAACCTCAGTGTTTTAAAGATTATTACCAATACAGAAATTACAGATTAGGAAACATGTTCAAAGATAGGTATTTCTTATATACTTTCAACCAAAGTACAAATTACAGTTGAGAAGGAAGAAAAAGGAACCATCTATTAAATACAGAGAAGCTGATGTACATGCAAAATAAGTAGTGAGGCAGGGGAGAGAAGAGAATATGAAAAGAATGGAAAATTAAAGAGGACACTTACTGGGGAAAACCACATCACTTTAAGAATCCAAATTGTCAAAGAAAAATTCACAACTAGGATGATAAGCAGGAGGAGAACAAACAGGTAGAGGCAACGCTTTCTCCAGCCATAAATTCCAATTTTGTAGACATATTCATTCTTCGGCCTCTCTAGGCTAGTGCCTGGTGTTGTTGTAGTGTATTGTTCACGTACCATCTGCTATGTAAAGAAAAAAAAAAGGGACTGCTTAGTTGTTTGAGTTAAACTAAACATATTTATATAAAACCCCAAGGAAAATATGAAGATATAATTGTAACAGCAAGTTAGTAGAAACTACAAACTCTTATGAAATTTTACCTGGAAAGCATTTTCATCATGTCAAATTACACTTACATCTTACTTTTTGGTACACATGATGTGATTTTTTACTATATGAACGGCATTAATTGCCATTTTCAGGAGGCTTAAATTTATTTTATCCTATATAGAATGGCAACACTTTCCTCCCATTTTTCATAATATTCTAATTTTCCCATCACAAAATATTTCATAGGATCATATCATAATCTGTGGCTCACAGAACAATATTATTTTACTGTAAAAATAGTTACAAGTAGTAACGGTACCTTGTAAGCACAGGTTTAAAAACACTTCTACATATTCTTTCCTCAATTCAGTAATAAAATGCGTTCTTTGTGTTGCAAAACTTAACTGTGTATCACTGGAATGCCAAAATATGTTAAGCTTCAGAATCTGTATATAAAGAAATAAAATGGTTCTTAATAATGAAAAGAAATAATGATTTCTCAATTTATCAGATATTAATTTTTAAAGATATATTAGCAATAAAAACATTACTTACTGGGTTTAAACAACTTCCTTCACTTTATATTATAGGTCTTAACGAAGTATTCTTTGAATTTAAAGAAATCTTACCAGATTGCACTTCCTTAAAACATGAGGATATTCACTACCACCTTTACAGCACAGAGATCACCAACAATTCAAACCATTCATTAAAGCTTCAAATTTCAGCCAGGAGAATAGAATCTCAGCAGCTGAAGCTGCTTATCTAGAACAACAGTGGGCTACATCTGTCTCTTTTTCACCAATATAAAAGGAAAAAAAAAAACCCAACTATGGATGTCAAAAAGAAAATAGGTATTGTAAGTTCAAGCACTTCCCATGAGCCAGGTATATCCACAGGCATCTTCCATCCTTTCCTACAGTATAATGTTCCCAAATGAGAGTCCCTTCAGACAGGTTTCACACAAGGTCCCCTCTCAATCTGGAATTTACTCCTGGGAATGAGATCACTGTGCTCTGCTCACACAACTTTCAAAATGCGATTAAATTACATTCTTGCCCAGCTGCTGAATTACTCTAAGTGGTTAAAGAAGCTCTTTTCACATCTCCTGCAGAGCCATCCTGTGTCTGCAACAAGCTTGTCACTCTCAGTTCTAACCCTCATCTTTAGAAAGATGTCATCTTTTGTTCCTGTAGCCTCCTATCAAACTACAAGACAGAGAATGCAACATAAATTTACAATTGAACAGAAGTTCATGCATTAGCTCTTTGCATATATGCAGTATTAATCTTATTTCTGCACTTCCATTCACAAATATTTTAATTTCTTGTTTATTTATATTAAAAAATGAGACTTGACCATCGGCAGTTCATAATGTAACTGTGCTACAGCCATTATGGCACAATATTCTAATTAATTTTTTGCTGCTATCAGTCTCAGTTGGTCATGATAGTGTGTATATAACTCTTTTAATCTGCTGAAAATACTGAAAATAGTATAATGATCTATTAGTGGAGAATCATAGATTCTATAATAACTTGGCTTAACATTACTGCAAAACATCGTAGATTTACAAGATGTTACTTAATATTCACCACATGAACTACATTTGTTTAAAACTATCAGATTATATTTTTCAGTTCTGTGTATTACTCAAGCACCTAGTACTGATTATAGGATACTGTTTATATATGAGTTACTACTATTTTTTTGCTGTTTTCCCACTAACCATTGTATAACAAACCATATCACTCACATAGAAGTTACCCTTTATCTTAAACCTACTTTACCATGCTCTGCCAAGTAAGACAAATTGGGACATTTATACATACCATGGGTTTCATAAAATGCTTAGAAAAACCATTACCCTTACTTCCACACAGATTTCTCCTGAACACTGTAACTTACAGGATAGGATGCAGTAACTGTTATCTGGTGACACCAACAGATATACTTTGAGAAATAACCTGTGCATTTCTTGCTCAGGTATAGCACAACTCTCTAATACCCTAAGATAGGGTATCCTCCAAGTTTCTTACTGTTTCCTTCATTACACATACTTGTTAAGTGTCAGTGTAACAAGAAACAAGATAGAGGACAGCTACAGAAATTTCTGTAGTAACAGAATGCCCCTTCACAAGACAGACTGCTTCTTTTTTTTTTTTTGAGGAGACAAATAAAATCCACTTCTAAGAACACTTAAAAGGTTATTTCAACAGGGCTGTGAGAAAATAGACCATTCTTCAGAAACTGCACAGTCAGTCTCATGAAGTTAGCTGAGCCTTCAACAACAAATCTCTAGCTGTGACATCTAAGCTTTGCCTGTTCCTTCTGTTGCTGTTCGCTACGTCTTCAAGGTAAATTTTGCAGCAGAAACACCATTTGATGAAGAGTAAATTAATTCTCAGATCTTCAAGTTTTTATGTCAGCCTCATCACAGTGGTCTCTGAGGTTGGGATTCATCTCACAATATCAGACACCAACAATTTAGCCTTCAATATCTGAGCCAGTCAACCTGGACCCCCTTTATGGTCAACGGAGATAAACCTACCCCTGCTGGGAATTATCTGACTTATTTCAGATGTATATTTTAGACATCAAATGAACTGCACCTTAGATGTGTTTAACTTCTCTCCATAAAAAGAGAAATAAAGAGAGGCTGGGGTGACTTTTTCATATGTACACACCTACATGTTTTAGACATAAGCATTTGGTCAAATTAATTCCAACCAGAATGATTTCCAGAAGCATGTAAGTTAACAAGAAGACAGGATTCTTTTGATTCCTGTTCTCCTCTGTTCCATTTTTACCCTGTTGTAAAATGTTTATTGTGTGAGTTGAGGGTTTTATACATAATGTATTATGTACTGCTGTTTAATGAGGTGAGGTCAAAATCCATTATGCATTTCACCATAAAGCCTGTGAGTTTTGTGATTGTTTTCAGTCCTTCAGAAATTCCACAGGGGACATCTCCCAGCACAGCATTGTTCCCTGCACAAATTATTTTTTCCTGACAGAAAACAGTTCTGTTGTTCCTGAGTATTATTAATACTGCCAAAAATTGCTTTGGTCCTAGCAAATGGGTAATGCTGGCCTAGACAACTGACTGCTTTGAAAAGGATTAAATTTTTCTACTTAATATAATATTTCATGATTTTTAAGAGAATTAGTGGCCCAGTACCAAGCAATTACAGGGGAAATCCTTTAAGAATTGATACTGTTGGACTGTTTATTCTGAAAGAATCAACTTTCCATATTACTGGCTTATACGTTCACGAGTTGAAATCTCATAGGAGAATAATCTCAGACCTGTATGGAGAAGTCAGAGAGAAATTCTTTTTGGGCTATTGTAGGAAGCTGGGCTAAAAGGAAAGCCTTAGACAGGCAGATCTCATAGTTGTCTGGTGAATTCTGCCAAGATTCAAGAGAGACTCTTAGAAGGAAAGCAACAGATATTTAGTACTATGATGAAAAATGTGATTTGTAAATGGAATAACCATGAAATGGTAAGTTGGTTGTGCAGGAGCATACTAAACAGACACCAAGAAGGAAGTGGTTACTTAGACACCTGGGTGTACACAAGTTAGTTGGAGAAGCAAGAAGTCTGCACAATGAACAATGAGTTCGGTAATTGTTATCTTTATATTTTTTTACAAGGAGGCAGGACACAGTGACGAACTACAGAAAGAACAGTCCTGGCAATCTATAGTGCAGATAAAATGGCAATTTAGTTTCAGAATGAAAATTCTGTCATTATTCAAATGGGCCATGAAAACATGTATTATTTATTTGGATCCTGTCAGCAGTACCATAATAAAAAAATCTTCTACTTAATTAGAAGTGAAATTTCTTGCTTTTCCTACTCAAGGGCCCACACAATCAGAAGTCAGATAGGATTAAGGTCAACTACTTGCATATTCCTTATGGATTTTCATATATGTGGCCATAATTCATGGGATCAAGCTCTATCATGGTAGTTTGCTATTTGAAAGTATTTTCCAATTGTCATAATCTGTTTTACTGGGATCCATTTTTATCCAATTACTTCTTGCTCATTTGCTGATTTAAAACAGATACTAATTACTGCCAAAAGATTTGTCATAATTTTAGATGATAGATATAACTTGTAGATTACTTGTACACTGCACATATTTTGACCATGTGAGATTTTCTCATGTGTTCAGACATTACTTGTAAGTGTTGCACATAATGCATGAAATTCATGCCTATAGGAATACACATCTGAGCTGCTGATAGAAGAGCTGTATGTTCTTTACATTGTGTTACTAAAGCTGCCCTCTAAAAATATGTAGCTATGACAGAACATTTCCTTGGATCTATTCCACCTTTTTCCATGCAAGACTTGGAGACTGGCCCCTGCGATTTGCATGATTCAGAGGTCCAGGAGATTTTTATATTAATACCTAGATATTGAAAAACTGTCCATCAAGAATGTTACTGTTGTATTTAGGTTAGTTTGGGCATCAAGTTCAAAAAGCTATTCTGATTGCTCTGGAATACTGAATTAAGACAGCTGTGTTTTGAAGAAGGAATTTGCAAACTTATCAGTAAGCCTGCTTGGGAAAGCAAGCCTGAGTAGAAGCTTGTTCATCGTATTACTTTTAGGAATTATTTATCTGTAAGAATTACTGAAGGCAGAATACTATTTCAATTAAAATAAGCAATCTCAGTTTATTTCAATTGTAAAAATGTTGTCATTGTTTTTGTTCATAAATGGCTGTGTTATTTTCTTGAACATAAATAAAATTCTCCTTAATGCACTGTTCAGAACTGTATTACTCGAGGACTTTGTCATGTTGTCATAAAGCAACTAATAATAAAGTACTAGAAAGCATAATTTAAATAGAAAACTACTTAGTTGGTTAATACTAATAACCAACTATAATTC